TTTAGAAGTAAGAAGTTGCAGGTCATCCAGGCCTTTATGTCTTTAAGACATGCTTGAAGTTTGACCAGCTGACCTGATTCATTTGGCTTCATAGATAAATATAACTGAGTATCATCTGCATAGCAATGGAAATTTATGTTGTGCTTCCTGATAATATTGCCTAAAGGGAGCATGTATAAAGTGAAGAGAATTGGACCTAACACAGAGCCCTGTGGAACGCCGTGACTAACTTCAGTTTGTGTGGAAGATTCATCATTAACATGAACAAATTGAAATCTTTCTGATAAATAAGAAATAGAACAAACTTAGTGCAGTTCCTTTAATGGACTAAAATTAATACATCAGGCAGATAATTATTAGACATTAATGTGTTAGATTTTAATGTGTTAGTAATGTAGTTTAGTAAGATTCAAAGTCTGCTCTAGTCTGCTCTGTTTCAAGGTTAGCAGTAAGCCATGACACCAATTGTTTTCTTGTATTAATCTTGTGTTAGATTTATGTCTGAACGATTGTTTTAGTTACACACCATGTAACATCACCACACACACATATGGAATTCTTCATTTTGTTATGACTAGGTAATACGCAGCTTTTCCAAGCCTGTGGAGCTCTTGATAAGAGATGGAGTCTGCTGGGTTAAAGCATACTGTACCAAATTTTGTAAAGACATTCTGTATTTAGGACTGAATTAAAGTCATTATGGAAAACATTTCTGATCACTATTGTGATGACTGATGCCAGCCAGTGGGAGGGAGGAATGACTTACTGTAGTTGATGAGACGTTCCAAGCTGCAGTTGTTCTTTACTGAACCCAAAGGACCAGAACCATTCTTAGGGAGCTTTGAGTGGGTGTAATGAGGTCCAGCCCCATCTGTATGTGAAAAGGCGAAATGACCTAGCTGTGAGGTATCTGACACTTAGCATGGTGAGAATGTTTTACACTCAGTGTAGCATGCTCAGGGCCATGCAGTAATTACGGTCAGTGTTTGAAGCCATTTTCCCATTTCACTCCACTTAATGTCCACGTCGGAGCTCAAGAAGAACAGCACATGTGCCTGTTTCTCTACTTTTACAAGCTCCCCACTAGTGATGCACCAAAATGAACATTTTGGGCCAAAACCGAAAATTTTGGATGCACTTGGCTGAAAACCGAAACGAAACCGAAAATTGCTTCTTTTAAAAACTTTAAATTTTTAAAACACGCTTACTTTATAATTGTGTGTATGTATATATATGTATAAATTACTTGAATTTGATGAATCTGAAATGAAAAACTAAAATCTAAAATATTTTTAACAATAAATACCAAATAATATTATTCAAGTTTTATGTAACATTCAATAACAGTTTTATGTAACACTCAAACATTTTAAATTGCTGTGCAAAACAATGCATAAACAGCAATAGAACTTCCAAACAAAGTGTAAACAACATAGCCTAGGTAGCTAGCAGTGCTACACAAATTTTAATGCAACTATGCAAAATGCAAAATTGGACTGCTGTTTAGTTCAACAAACGTGGCAGGTTTTTCTTTAGGAACAAAAGTTGCTCCGCTTTTTGGCTGGAGAGATGGTTCCTCTTCTCATTAAGCACGAGATGCTGCACTGAAGAGTCTCTCACTATCTGTGCTGGTGCTTGGGGCAGATAAATACTTGCGTGGAACCCGTGCAAGTAATGGAAGGCGCTCTTTGCTGGAGCGCCAGTAGTCGAGTGGATTGTCACTTCTGGCAATGGGTCGTTCACCTAGATAAGTGAACCAAGTGTTGGCACCGTACCTCCTCTTGATATTTTCGCAGAACAAATGCTGCATATTGCAACTTTGGTGTCCTCACCTGAAACTTCAAAATGCTTCCATACCACTGACATGCTTTGTCGTTGATGGGGAGACGCGTGATATAACAGCTCCAGCGTGAGTGAAACCTAACCTGTGCTGTGCGAGGATGAGCGGGGCATTTTCGGCGTGTTTTTTTATTCCAGCCCGAAATAAAAATGGCCTTTTCGGCCGAAAATTTTCGGTGGCCGAAAGTTCGGTGCACCCCTACTCCCCACAGACATGGAAGGATTGGAACAGCTCTAACTGTTTTCAGTGGTGATTAACACTGAAAAAGGGCTGTGCGTGGTAAACAGCCATGGAGTAATGGATGACCAAACAGAGTTAAGGCAGGGCAAAATGCTCTGTGGATTCCAGGGATTCATTCTGATGTCAGATGACACTTCAGAAGCAAAATATTTGCATGTATCTACAGTGGAGTCCAGATGTTGATTCTCAGAGACTCCAAAGTTCTGCCAGGAAACCACCAGAAATGACAAATGCTTACTTAGGGATTTAGCTACACATTGGGGTTTGGGTGCTACTGAGACACAACATGGAGATGACAAGAACTGTTAATGTAACATTAGCCTTTGTTAACTGTGCTAGCTTTTTGCTTTATTTCTTTGTTTAGAAATTCATGTTTAAGATCTAACCACATTACAAAATTCACTAGATTCATTGTTTAAAACGGCATAACTCTCTCTATTCCCCGACATTCTGGAGCCACTGAGAGATGTTTGAGGCTGCCTTCCTTTGAAATAGAAGATGCCACCAGGGTAATGAGGATGTGAAGGCTAAAATTTAACTGTAGAGGTGAATGGGCTCCAGTCTTTCGAGACTTGATCTATTGCAATAAAAGTTCAGTCCCTAATTTTAATTTTAAATGCTTTGGACATGAGCTCAAAATACTGAAGATGTCCTGATCTATTTCTTTTTGAATCCTTTAATATTAATAAGTATTAGGTCCTGGTTCCAAAATATTACGTTCATTAGCTTAAATTGATATGAATAAAGGAACAACACACACTGAGAACTACAGATTCATTACAGATACTAACTACTACTTCATATTCCTTTCTGAACACACAGTTTGTGTAACCAGTCCACTTTAGCTCTCCCTGTTTGACAGTTTAATAACGCTGCATTAACAAAAGGTGGCTGCTGTCGTAGCACCACTGGACAAAAGCATAAAACTTATCATGTCTGTACTGAAGGGAAAACTATGGTCCTAAACTCTGACAAGTAGTAGACAGTAAGGAAATCCTGGCTACACTTCATATGTGAAGTGTATCTAACCAACTCTAAAGAGAACCGCCATGTTCAATTGGACTGATGTAACCGCTGATCATGTGTTTTAACTGTTTTTGCTTGATGTAGTTGTATATTTTGTAGGCGTTCTGGTTGGAACCAGTGAGTTTCTACTGTTCTGGTGGATTCTATGGAGCGTTTTACACGTCTAGCTCTGATTAAAATAGACTTGAAGCTAAAAATAGACTTCAGATGACAGCTAAGGGCATAAAGCACCACTTATATACCAACCAACACACAGGCAGTGTAGACAACTGGATTGATTACTATTGCAGCTTATTGGTTGTGTGACACATGTGTCTCAAAAACATGACTGTCTGCTCAAATAGGACCATAAGGATCAGAACTGGATCAGCTTTATTCTGGCTGATACAGATCCTGTGAAATATGCCTGGATCGGCACTGATATGATACTTAGTATCGGATCAGGGCATCTCCACACAATACAGATGTCAATATTTGTATAGTGTTGAGCACAAATAAAACATCAACCTGATGAGACTCAAATTGTATGATGAAGTATGAGCTGTCCTTTACATCTGGATGGACATGGGCTCTAAAGAAGTGAAGCTTGTGCAGGATTTTGAACTGTATTAGTCCAAGTCATACACCAGAAGATCGTGTAAGGTTGCTAGGTACATTTCATGACTCATCAGTAAACCTGCTTACAAGCAACTCCTGTTTATTCAGAAAACACCTGGTTGTAGGCCCTGGACATCCGTGGCTTTTGTTTAGGATTTCATTCACTGACATTTTTGCAGCCTGTATTTTGTTTTCAGCCCTTTCATTTTATGTTCCAAGTAAGGAGGGGTAAGAGCTTTTCTGATTCTACCACTAGTGGGCACCAGTCAGAAACGTTCAACTGACACAAATAGTGACTTTAAATTTGTTTATAATTTGCCAAGTAATTGAAAAATTTAACTATGGTTAAAAGAAATGGAAGAATTATTATTTGCGTACTTGTAATCAAGAACTGAATATCACGTTGTTGTGATCTTTTACTTCAAAATGAGAAGCTGACTGATGCACACCTAGATACAGACTCCTGTGTAGTTAAATTAATGCTGCAACAAGCAGTTTTTGCAGCATTAATTCTTGGAATGTCCTCACTCCTTTAGTCCTCTGACAGGGTGTGACCAGGAGTAAACGCTCTGCGCTGATCTGTGCCATGAAGACCCAGAGGGCCCAAGATGATACACCAACTTCACCGTCCCACCGACAGAAGTCTCGCTTCACCTTACGTGGCAGAAAGAAGAAGGATGGGGTGATTCAAGGCAAGCTCCGTATCCGCTCCATGCCTGGAGCCTTCCTGGTGCTGGGAGTCATTGTGGTGGTTGCTGGCACCGCTCTGGCTGTGGCAGGGTACTGGCCCTACCGGATATCAAGATCATCCATCCTGGGAGTTGCAGACGGGGAAAGTATCTCTGAGTCACAGACCTCTGGCTGGACTCTGGGAGCTAAGGGCCTCCTGTCCACAGCCAGCCTCATCCACACTGAACGAATGAAGCTGCTGGGGCCTGTCATCATGGGGGTGGGACTCTTCATCCTCATATGTGCCAACACAGTCCTGTACGAGAACAGAGACAGAGAGACCCAGATGCTGCTGGCTCAGATGCGCAGTGTGATCTGTTCTGTTTCTGCAGCTGTGCCCTCGGCAGACCTTAAAGAAATTGCTGCAGTCAGCTCAGTGGCCAAACACTACCAGTGGGTGAGTGGTTTACCAGCTGCCCACCTCAACATCCTTTGTCTGCAGCAGCTGGCAAGCTCTGAGCCCCTGCTCCGAACCAGACACCACATATACCAGGACGACAGTGTGGGGAGTATCTACCAACAAGCTGTTCTGCAGACAGAAGCCCTTCACCACCAGGAATCAGAGCCTCCGCCTTCCCTCGACTCCTCCCACTCCAACTCTTGTAATTCCAGTCAAACAGACTTTAATACACAGTCTGACACTGAGCATGGCAGCATTACCAGTTTCAATCGGCAGGCCGCCCCAGTCGTCAAGCTCAACAACTGCCTGGTGTCTGCCAATTCCATGTCTACACTAGGGGTGGACGAGGTGGATATGCCAGTTGTCCAGCCGAGGCGCTGCCACAGCATCAGCTACAGGACTAACCCTTACACAGCTCAAACTGGTGTGCATGTGCAGGGAGAACTCCACACACCCACAGAGGAGGGCCAAATAAGCCAGCTAGTAGTCATGAGGAAGGAGGTCAATTCACAGGTTTGTGTTAACATCCCCAGGCAGATTGCGGATGTTGTAGAGGAACAGACTCATCGAAGCTGGCCTCGGCTAGACCTGGGCAGCGGAAGACGATACCTGAAACTAGAGAACAAGGAGGACTCAGTGGACAAACTGCTGGACCATTTAGAGCTGCAGTGTTCTCAGTGGGATAAGAGTTTTGGCTCTGGGCCTTTCCAGTGATGGCTGCTGTAGCTTCACAGTCCAGAGGGTACTTCTACCTGACAACCAAGGAGTAATGTTATTTTTCCCTGGATTCTAAAACTGCAGCATTTTTTTTTTTGGTTTTAAATTTTGTGTGGGGCAGAGAGAAACTGAGCCCTGGATCATTTTGAGTGCAGTATTTTCTAAACCTGAGCCTGTTGTTAGCCTTCAGCGGAATATTGGTACACAGGGGTCATGGTCTGTGCTTGGCTGGATGTGGCAGATGTTTTATATATTGGAAGACAAGGAACAATATACAGGACCCTACACTGCCACAGATGAGTGAAACAGTTTGACAGACTGTTTACTTCTGCAGATTGGGCTGACAGCAGTACCACAAATTAACTTGTATCTCAATGCCAAAATGGGTTTGCCTGTTCCTAGGACACGGTGTGCACAGCCTAGTGAGGAGGATGGGGGATTGTTTTCACTGTGCAATCAGTTTTGAACCAAACTACCTGGACTCCTGAGCCCACAAAGTGCTGACAGCTATTAACAAATACAACCCCAAGTCAGAAGAAGTAGGGACAGTATGTAAAATCAAAATTAAAACTGAAAATAGTCACTTATAAATCATCTATGTCCTGTGTTACACTGAAAACAACACAGCAGCACATTATTAGATGTGACACCTCATCAGTTTTATTCTTTGTTCAAAATAAACACTCACTTCAATTCTGATGCTGCAACACATTCCAATAAAAGTTGGGACAGTGAAATATTTACTATGGTGTGATGCTGCATTTCAGGGATACTACTGAGGTGAAACAATGAAATGATGATTCCATGTGAACCAGGTGATGTCAACAGGTGACTGCATCATGATTTGGTACAAACGTCTGAGTGATTGGAGAGTTTGGTCCTCCAGCTTAGACTTGGCCCTTTACACACTGAAATCCTCCAGACTCCTTGAATCTTATAATGATGATCTGCACCGTAGAGGGTGACAGATTCAAATCCTTCCTGTCTTTCTATGAGGAACATTGTTTTTAAACATCTTAATAATTTTCTCACATGTACTGTATGCTGGTAAACTGCTAGTCCTCGGCCCATCTTTGCTCCTAAATCTTGATGTAGTCACCTGTTGACATCACCTGGTTCAAATGGAATCATCATTTCATTGTTTTACCTCGTTACTGACCCTGAAATGCAGCTGACCCAACATTTATTGGAATGTGTTGCAGCATCAGAATTGAAGTGAGTGTTTATTTTGAACAAAGAAACAAATTGATGAGGTGTCACATCAAATAATGTGCTGCTGTATTTTCAATGTAATACAGGACACATGATTTACACATCACTGTTTTCAGTTTTAATTTTGATTTTACATATCTTCCTGACTTTTTTTTGATTTGGGGTTGAACAACCAGTATACGGAAGTGGGACCTTTTCCTCAGCTGAGGTCCCATACGCCAAATGCAATGCATGCCAGTGTTGTACAGTATGTTACACCGGAATACTTATGCAGCGTCATGTCATTGTTGGTGTTAATGTGTATACGAAGTAATGACAGTTAAGAGGCAATGAGATCTGGGCAAGTGATGCTAACATGTCTATCTCAAAACTGGGATGGATCTTTATATTGGACAAAACAGTTAGATGTTTTTCCTTTGTTTTTTATGGGCAGATTATCATATGGGCCCTTACTAACACAGACACACCCGTGTGTGAGCACCCCCAGCACAGGACATTGTCAAGTAACCTCCACTGTTTACTTATAATGCAGTTGTGCTCATTATGTTGGTATAATACTTTTAACACACATTTTAGCCCTGTTTTGCTCCTTGTAACCCTTCAGACTATAAATAGTTTATATCACACTATAATTAACTGTAAGCAGATATAACTTGTCAATAAATATAACTCCTGCGGGCACCCATAAGTGGAGGCTGCTGTGTAAAGGATGAACAACAGTACAGTAAAGAAATCTGCAGAACTATCAAATTTGTCGTCATAAGAGAAGTTATATTTGCAGACAGATACTATGACTATGTGGAAATAAGACACAAGTTGTAAAAACTTGAAATATCCTTAATAATGAATGAGAATTTCTCCTTGCTGCCCATCAGGTTCGGTCCATTATTAGCTCGTAATGAAAGCAGCGACGTGTCCTCCCTCTGGTCTCCTGTTGATCATCTCTTTTCAGAATGCACCCCACCCCCGCCCTCCATACCCTTTGATCAAATGGACAAAATGGATTGTGGAGACAAGGCATGCCTGCAGCTTCAGTAAGATTTAGTGAGGTGGTCAGTGTTATTGGATACAGATGGGTGTGTGTGTGTGTGTCATAGAGGGAAGAGAAAATGAATCAGGGTTTGAATCAGCAGTCTTCCACTGGTTTTCTTTTTGTCTGTGCCTGTTCAAAGTGTGACACTTTGTCTTTTAAATGTATACCAAGAAGCAATATGAGTGCTCTGACAGTACATTCAGTGTCTTGCCCTGTGTCAACCACAGAATTAAACAACATTGCCATGCCTTTGTTGCAAATATAAAGCAAAACAAAAGCAGCATCTGTTTGCTGTTGTCTCACTTATTCAAGCTGTCAATGAAACGGCACCTGGTTATATGTGTATGCAGCTTCTTCTCTCCACGCTCGCTGCTGTCAACCCCATTCCTCACCCCAGAGGAGATTGTGCATTTCATTCATATTTCTGGAAATATCTGGCTGGGATTGTGGAGCGGCAGGTTGAATTCTGTAATTGCCCTCTGCAGAGCGTCCTGCACACTCCAAATTCCCCCCTTTTTATTAGGTTTTATGGTTCCTTCTGGGCAGGTATTTAGTCCCTTGTGATCTCTTTGCACTTAATTTGTCATTTACTGCTTCTGAGTTTGTACCAGCTCATAAAAAGAGTAAGAGTAATTCCTCCTCCCTTCTGCAGCAAAAATGCAGGAAGGTAGAGAATTACAAGGCTCCAGGAGGGCAAAGAGGTGCAGATGTGAAAAATCAGGGATCATAACATACAGCCTGTGTGCCAGACATCAGCTCTTCCCATCTGCTCAGCTAGTGTGTTAAGTGATCGTTACACTGCCAACCAAAACAGCAACATTAAGAGAGAGAGATTTTTGTAATTAATGGCTCTATTGATTCAAGAAGCAGCCAAAATCACATAATTGTTACTCTCCATTAGCTAATATACCCAGTGCATTAGAGTCTGGCAAGAAGGGATTTAGTGTCCCGCTCTTGCATCATGATGCAGGATGATTATTATCACATTGGCTGAAATGTGTATTTTCACACTATTCATTAGCCAGTGAAATCAGTTTCAATAAACGACCACATCCTTGTTTGGCAGAGTTTAGCTCATTTCCTATAAGTCATGCACATATTTCTAAAGCACACGTGGGAGTTTTGCAGTGTATATTTTAAAATAAGGGTGGTATGGGGAGCATGGTGGTGGAGAGTTGACTTCAGTAGCATCAACTGTCTCCATTACTCCAAATACTGTTCTGTATTGTGGAGTTAATGACCATGAAGTTCCAACCAAACAGTGTCAAGAAAGAGCAAGTGGAATTACCTGGTTTTCTGCATTAAGTGAAGGGATATCCAAGTCCACATTTTTTCCCCTTGTGCTGCTCTAGAGATAGAAGGAGATAGGAGCTGGTTGGTCTCAGCCTCAAAGCCTCTACAACAGTTAAGTTTTTATATACCCTGTTAATCAGAATCAACCTTTACATACAGTGTTGTGTTCAGCTTGTTCACAACAATTTGCTAAAACTAGCAAAAGGCACTCATACTGGTTTAGTAGTAGCCAAACGGACCTTGGGCAAAACAGTGAAGACATCACATCTTGAACATGAATTACAGCCTCCATTACTTAGCACATATGGTTAGGAGCATTGTGGTTGGCTCAAGTAAAGTATAGCTCCCTGTCCTCTCCGCTCCACTGTGTGTGTCTGTCAGCAGCGAGGGAAGAGGCACTCCAGAGGAGAGGAAAGGTAGTGACCGCCAGGTTAAAAACTGTGGCAGTAACAATGAAGGAGGATCAGAATTTAATTGCCTTTATTTGAATGACCAAATCTGTACCAATTCCTAGGAATGGCCAGGGACATCTCTAATGTCCTGGTCATCTATAGTCACAAGTATAGACAACACAACACGCCCAACCTACTACAACCTAATACAAAAATAATGGCAATGTTTTGGATTTACAGTTTTTCTTGATTGCTTTGAAGCAGCCGTCAATTGAAACCCCACATTTTCAAAACAGTTAACACACCTGCCTAGACAGTATCACTGATGGCAAAATGACACATTTTGTTTGCAAAAGGCGCTAACCATGCCAAAACATTTAAAATATGCAACAAAAGCAAATTTTGCCTTCAAACAACACAACTTGCAAACAAGTATAGGAGCTCTTTCAGTCAGTCATTACACAATGGACAACAAAATACAAAATACACAACTCAGTGTGAATCAGTGCCCCATTGCTTGTCATTTTAGCCTATAGCCAGTGCCATTTGTCTTTCTA